AATTAGGTCGTTCTAAAAAGTGCCGAGTCATCGCAAATAATAACCGAGTAAATTTTTATACTTGGCATAATTTTTGATCTAAATATACATATACGATTTGTCCGATTTGTACGATTATACGATTGAGATTACTTCGTCACGCAAAAATTCTTGGCGATTAATATATAGATAATTTATAGTTTGTTAGTATTTGAATTTTTCGTGTTTCAAAAACAAAAAAAAAATAAGCAAAATATATATCTATAAAAAGATTAAATAAAAGAGGGATAAAGTTGTGTTAAAAGAAGAAGAAAAAGAGACAAACTAGATACTAATGATCATATTCGTCTGTATATAGAAAAATTGCACTTAACTTGGTTAAAGTTTCAATGTTTATTATTATTTATATTCCCTCCCTAGAAAGTCTTCCTTTTAGTCGGTTTTTATGACAAGCAGGGTCGGTTTTTATGAGGGGTTAATATTACCCGCCCAACTTACGTGTGTTATTATTATTATTTTTATCATTACATAATGTTATATTACATATTAAATTTCTTTTTGTCGGATTTAAATAAATGTAATACAAATTTTAGAGAGTAAAAATAAGAGAAAAAAAAATGAAATATAATTTTTTTCAGATTATTTTCAATCTTATCAGAYCCAAAACAGATTTGTTTGAACAAAGTATAATGTTAATAAAAAGAATGAGACGAAAAACGATGAATCATTGAAAGTTTTAATATTTGACAGTAAAAGTTACCACGTGCCGGTAATCAAACTAATATTTTCAAGGAAATTCATATAATAATAAAAATAGAAAACGTGCTACGAAAAATTGCATTCACCTAAAATTCTAAATCTCTAAAAATAAATTTAACGTCCTCAAAGCATGATAACGCAATAAACAATAGAATATTATGTTACTTTCTAAGGTATAAATACGATTTTTGCTAAGTGCAAAAGCAGATATTCCAGCAACACAACTGCATCGACTTAGAAAACAAAATTTCGTTATTCTTAGAAAAAGAAAAAATAACTTTGAATTTTCTGAACTTTCCGACCATCTTAGTTTACGTAAGTATAGTAATAATTAATTGCTACTAACGAAAATTAAATGATTTCATTAATAGTTTATCACGTCATTGGAATTATCTGATTAATTTAATAATATATTAAATATGAAGCAGAAAGTAAATTTTTTTTCTGAAATAAAAAATATTGTTATTTTGTAATTTTTTAGGGAAATAATCAACATGCGTTATCTTTCAATAGTTTGTGTATTTTTAATCTTCATCATTTACTCAACAAGCACAGTACAAGGTCATGCATATAGTTCGAGCTTCGCAGAACCTACAGCTACCATAATCGGTGCTCCACTCCTAAAGTGTCCTGAAGGATATAAATATGATCGACGCTTTAAATGCCGAAAAGTTATTACTTAAATTAAGGAATAAAAAATTAATAATAATATAAAAATATTATTCCAATATTATATGTCAAATTTGTTTATGAATAATATAATGAAAATTATAAATAATGTAACATAATTGGAAAATAAATGTTAAATTAAAAATTAAAAGAATAAAGACATATTAAAAGTATCATGGCTATTATATTTGTAATTTGTAAGTTACACAWTTGGATATATTATTAAATAGAAAAATTTTATTGTAGCAAGAGAAAAAATCGTAAAAAAMATTTTTTTTTAATACAACAATCATTGCACTAAAACAAGAAATATTTTTGACATTGTACTTCTTCTGGGGCGTTTGGGAAAAAGTCATTAAAGTGAATTTTACGATGCGCGGGCAAAGCGATCTCAAATTTTTCTTCTCAAGCGGTCACCCATCCCTGTTCTAATGGTACTCAAGTGCTTCTTGACTTAAATCATCGAAGCAGCACCTAGTGCTATTACCGCACCATGTCTGTTGACGCATGAAGTGGTTTGATATAACTCCCTTATATTTAGTGTGGACTGATATCTACATTTTGGTGATTTTGACTAGGATCAGTATACATTTGAATTTCTGTTAAAATTGTCGAGATGCCTAAAACAAATGCAAAGAAATGTAAAAAATATCGTCTTCGAAGGAAGAAGAATAARGAAAATAAGGAAAACAATACACAAATTAATGAAGAACGTTGTAAAGGAGTATAGGCTGCGAAGAAAAATGATTGCACTAGGATATGAATTGTCCACGAATGGAATTTTATATATTCCGGCAACTTCTAATTTACTGTGCGAACCATCGGCTTAGCCTGCGATTACCGGTACAAATTTCAATAATTTAAATGTCACAGGGAAAACTAATATTATTGCTAATTATTTATTTTATATGTTTGGTCTTTATTTTTAAATTTATTTGAAGTTATTTATATTAATTTTACATTTATTAAATACTAAATAACGAGCTTGGCCTGACGAGAATGTCCTTCAGAATTCGAGTGGCACCCAACGTGATAACGATTTTTGTACCATTTTTATATTTGAAATACACGGCTTAATCATTTTGAGAATATTGAGAATATCGTGATGTTATCTCGCCTCCCCACTTTTCAAACCGATGCTAAGCGCGCCCTGCTGGGTACATCACAAAGACACTCGTGCTATTCTTTCACTGGACGCCTACGACGATACGTTTTAGACAACCAGCGAAAAATTTACAGAGAAACCAACGARCAAAGCGATATTTCCTATTTTAATTAAACCCTTCTTCTTCCTCACGTATAAATAAATAAATGAARTTATACTTATTAATTTTAATATATATAAATCTTTATCAA